AACTTTATCCTGCATGGTGGGAGGTCGATAAGGTTAGTATTTATTTGTTTAAATATTTTAAAGGTGTTCATAAATAAGTGCGCAATTTGAATTATTATATTTCGATGCAGGTGTTTATCCCTGTTTTGAAACGTACTCATTGGCTTCTCGTTGAGCTTCAGCTCTCATCCCTAAAGACAATAGTATATGACAGCATGATAAATTACATATCATTGTCTGATTTGAGAGATATTATTAAGGGATGGAGCTCTCATTTGGCTAAATTCTTGGATGCAATTAATTATTGGACTAATTCTGGAAACAAGAAGCCAAAGAAATTCAATGTTACAGTTATCAGAGACGAGACCGCGCCACAACAAACGAAGGAAGCCAGAGGGGATTTTGATCCTCTCGTATACATGTTCTTGGAGCGTTTGACGACAGGGAAGTACACAGTTTCTACCTCCCACCGATAGAGATAGAGGTGCAGTAGGCTTGTGGTTTAGCATTTTATGGCTAGAACGATATATGCGAGACGCTGCCTACCTGCATCCGCGTTATGAAAGTGTCCATAAACAATTTGTAAGTCAAATGCAAGTGTTGTTAAACATATATACTCTTTTTGGTTTGAAAATGTTTGGTTAAGTAGCTAGAATTCAATAATTTGTTGTTTGTAGGTTTTAGATGTGTAGAAAGTGTTGTTGATTCAATGTTTGGTTTCTGCAGGTTAATCCTGAAGTGAGATGCGTGAAATGGATGTATGGGTGCAAAAGTTGATTCAATAATTGATGAGGAAATAATTCTTATTATTATTTTTTGATTGTTTAATTGATTTGTAAAAGATGATTTGTAAATGTTGATTTGTTTAATTGATGTGTACATAATTATTATTTGTGCTTGTTTAATTGATTGAAATGTAATAGTTGATTTGTTGATTTCAATATGCATTATGTTGAATGCAAAACAGACTATCGCAACGCGAAAATGACTATCGCAACGAGAAAATCGCAATGCGAAATGAAAATCGCAATGCGAAAATGAAAATCGCAACGCGAAACTAAATTCGCGTTGCGATAGTCATTTCCGCGTTGCGATAGTCAATTTCGCGTTGCGATAGTCATTTCCGTGTTGCGATAGTCATATTCGCGTTGCGATTTCCACGTTGCGATAGTCAAATGAATGTCTAATAAGTGATAACAACTGAACATATCATAGCAATGTTCAAACTCAAGTTACTAATACATGCCTAACTGAAAATGTTAAAAGTTCACACATAATATACACATAATACAATGTTTGCATTTAAAAAATCACCTAAGTTAACAGTCCCAAAAGGTGAAGCCTAAATCCACTTAGGGGCTCTAAATTCAATTTAGTTGCTTGGTGATGAAATTGTGGTGGAACCATTAAATTTTGAGCACCATAAACTGGGGTTGAAAAACTTAGTTGATTACTACCCGCTACTGACCCAACTTCACTACTTCTAGGTTCAACAACATACAATGTAACATCATCACTTGAAACACTAATGTAAGCAATGAATCGTTCAACATCTTCATTGTCGGTTAACAAATAAACTTTATCATTTCTCTGATAAGATAGCCTAAATCCACTTAGGGGCTCTAAATTCAATTTATTTGCAACACGTAACATTAGAGTTTCATAAGTTAACTTTTTTAATGACAGTTTTAGTTGAAGATTCATGGGTAAAGGCATATATTTGTAAAACACCATGAGCATTCTCTCATGACCCTCCAAAACACAAATCTATCCAAACATGATCAATATTAGATGATTTCATTATTGTAAATTAATTTACTAAACAAACGAGATACGAAACTAAAACTTGTTGCCGGATGGGGAAGGATGTCGTTGGATATAGGAACGGATGTCGCCGGAGAGAGTGATAGATGGAGATGAAATGAGTTGCGATTTAGGGATTTAGGTTATGAGTTGTTGCTGCTGCGTAGTTATATACCAAAAATATTTGTGTTGCGAAACTAAAACCTGTTGCGAATTCAGAAATCGAGTTGCGAATTTGAAATTCAGTATTGCGATAGTCAGAATCGCGTTGCGATAGTCATAATCTCCTTACGATAGTCAGAATCTCGTTGTGATAGTCAGATTCGCGTTGCAATTTACGTATTCGCATTGCGATTTACGTATTCGCATTGCGATGTACGTATTCGCATTGCGATTTACGTATTCGCATTGCGAATTAGGAAAATCGCAACGCGAATTTGGAAAATCGCAACGCGAATTTGGAAAATCGCAATGTGATAGTTAGAATCGTGTTGCGAATCTAGAAACTGATTTGCGATACCGGAGATTGCGTTGCGAATTATCGATCGCATTGCGATTTAGTTGGTCATTTTGACAAATCCAAAAAAAATTAATTAAAATCATATATTATAAGACATTGTTGGTCACTGAAATTATTTTCTCTATATTATATTCTCTATATTATATTACGAACGCAATTTAATATTATTACACCCCTGTATAAGGTGCATGCACTGTAAAAAGGAGAAACTTTTTGTATGGATTAACGTACCTTTACAGTTTACAGGGACTAATGCAAGACAGACAGCCTTGTTTGTCGTGTAACACAACGAGGAAATTTGTAACAGAACCAGTTGGTATGAAAACATCGCACGTTCATTTTTCTTGTCAAACAGTGTCAAAGCTTTCTGTATGTAGTTCTTAGGTTTTATGTTTTACGTACGTACAGTCACAACTATTAATTTCTTTACCAAGATTCGAGTTGCCCTAAGACTTAGGTTTTTATCACTCATTGTCGATTCTAGCTAGTTTCTTATAGCAATAGTTTCTTATGTTCTATATTGTTTGTAAAAATGTCTTCCGACATATGGATTCATCAATGAAAACTTTAAATTATTATATAATTTAAATATTTTTTATATTTTTTATTGATAATATATTTTTATTATTTAAATTTTTATAAATTAATCTTCTTAATATAAAATCATACATTTATTTATGTCTTTGAAAATGTATCATTTATATATATATATATATATATATATATATATATATATACAAAGAAAAAAAATCTGACCCATAAACCGAAAAGGCCAATGCTACCTATCTGATTCAATTATATATTTTCTATTAATAACTTTATCTTAATATTAATGAGTGATGAGTATCATCTGATTATTGCACATCATTTGCAAAAGAAAGAATGAAATCATCATTCTCTAACAGAAAACATTGCTCATCATTCTCTGTTAATTCATAAATGAAGAGATAGGTCAAGCTTTTGATCTTTCTCCTTATGATCAGCCCTTCCGACGCCTTGATTATCATCTTCCGCCAATGCTAGTTGCTGAGTACTGAAGTCTCCATTGCACCTTACGCTCCTTTGCCAATTGAAGCAACTTTGCTCCTCATCATCTTCATGATGGTGGTAATAACAGTTGCTATTCTCGCCATAAAACCCAGCATTATTACTAAATCTGTCCGCACCATTCGACCCGAAACCGTCGGATAAATGATGATGATGATTCGGGAAAGAACGGAAGTTGGCAGCATGAGCTGTTATATACATCGGAGGGTGTAAGAAGCTCAAATGGTTGCTCGCAGCAGCCATAAACAATCGGCAACGTCGGTGAAGATGACAAAATGCCGATCGGTCTATATTCGGATGCCCTTTTAGCGCTTCGTGCAGCAGTTCTTTCTCTCTTGTGAGCATTTTGATGGCCTCCCAATGCTTGAGAACTGTAAAACTTTCTCGAACAAAATAAACAAGGGAAAAGCCTTGTTATCCCATCTTCCATATCTGTGTACAGATTACCAGTTTTCATGCAGAATACAACAAAACAAGACGGAAATGGCTGAAAAGAAAAGGAAAAAGAAAAACTTTGAAGCAGTACTGTTAGAGGAACTTAGCATCCGGTGGGTGATGATAAAAGAAAAAAAAAATAGTGGGGATTTCAGAAGCTGTGTAAGAGTTGGAAAACGTGAAGAGTTCTGAACATAATATAATAATTAAATGGAGATTGGAGAGTGTAGTGTATGGGCATTGGAGCAGAGAGATAAAGAGATAAGTGGATGGAACCATTCTCCAATACGTTTGTGCATGCTGAACCGGAGAAGAAATGTTTTTTTTTTAAATGTATGGGATTTGGAGAATGGGAAAGAAATTATGCCATCAATGGAAGTCAGAGTGTATCAACCACTTGTGCTGATTGCTGCGTTCTCCACCGCTGATTCCATGCAATGTGTCGCTTTTCAGCCATTTCCCTTTGCATTATGTGGAGATATTGGAGAAGTGCTCTTCCACTCGTCCTTGTGTTTGCTTCACATATACATGATCAAGGTATACATTTTTAAGGTTATATTAAAATCTTATAAATATAAAATTAATTTATTAATACAAAATATAAATAGTATTTAAATTATATAAAAAATTTATCTCAATCATCCCTAGATACAACATTAGTCACTTGTTTTTCTCTTTGTAAATAAAACAGGCCCACAAACCAACGAACTTCAAATTCCCCGACCCAGTACCGAAACAATTATAGGCCGCTAATAATAAACTCGGGCTGGTTTGGCGGTCAGTCAGTCTTAAAATATTTTCAAAAATCAGGGGAGACAAAAAAATTAAAATACAATTTTTTAATATAAAATTAAAAAATTGATAGAAATGGATTGCATTTAAAAAAATTATTAAGAGTGTAGTTTTTAAGGTCGAAAAAATAATATTTTATATTAAAATATAAAATATTATATTTTTATAATATTTTTTATTACAATCGAAAATGTTATAAATTTGTATAATTTTTCCAACTATAAATATAAACCCTTATAGTATAATTTTTTAATTACAACAAAAAATATTATAAATTTATATATTTTTAAATTAAAAATCACCTTAGATTAATTTTAAATTAAACTGTAGTAGAACATAATTCCGAGAAAGGAGTTTGCATGTTGGTAAGTGACCGAGGAGGAGGGATAGGAAGGATGACACGTCATTCTCGGGGGACCTCATCAAATTTCAACACAGAGGAGGCGGTTGTATCCGATGATTTCCCCGCCCGTCTCCTCTCATTTTCTTAAACCTTCTTTATTCACACATATAAATATAAATAAATCTAAACAAAATCGTTAAAATTTGATGAGGGGGAAGGGGTTTGCTGTTTAAGTTTATTTATTCAAATCAATTATTTGTGGTCTTAATTTTCTACGGTGCTTCTACCATCCCGAAGCAATCTCACCTTCCCTTTTAGAGATCGGATAATTTTCAGTTCCCAAATTCCGTGTTTATTCTTGTAAATCCTCCCTTTTTCCGTATATTTAATCCTTGTTGTCTGATTTGTTTCATGATTTTTTTTTATTCACGGATTGATCTGTGTTATTATTCGCCAGTGAGGTGCTTTTTTTTTTTACTGAATGCAATCTGTACATTGATGATGATTGGTTTGTTTACCATGATAGATGAGGAATCTTTTAGGGGTTAGGTTTTGGATAAATTGGTGGGAAGGATTGGTATTTTAGATGAGCTGTGGTATGTGAGTTTTTTTTATGAGGTTTGGATGAACTTGTTTTTTTTCCTTTTTTTAGAAAGCAACTTGTATATCTCTGTGTCTGTGTTTTATATTCTGTTTTTATTTAAAAGTTGCCTAAGAGATTCCTATTTTTATGTGGGTTAATTGGTTAGATTGAAAATAGTATCTGAGCATAAATCTTAGCTACACTGTAGATGTTTAATTCGAAATTCAGCTTTGAAAAGGTTTTATTTGCTGTGTTTATAGGAAGCAGACTAAAGCAGTTTTGCATAAATGAAAAAAATTTGGTTGTTTGAATTGATGACTGTTATATAAAATTGCAGTCTCATAAGTTTACCCTCAAGTAACTGGGAATTTAGTCTCATTGAGCATAAAAAGTTTGTGAGGAAGTGTTGTTGCATTGATGGTTCAACCAACCGTTACAATCTTTATCTCTAAACTGTTTGGATGTTTATATGCATTTTTGTTCTCTCCGTTGGTAGTTGGTAGAAATTTTATATTTGGATACATATTTATTTGACAATCTTTTTCTGCTTTTTTTTTGGGGTCTGGCTGCAGGTGTGTTGGTCTTATGGTTCATGAATAAATTCTTAGTTTTTGAATTGAGGATTCTGTTTGAGCTTTGGATCTTTGCATCACGCTTTGCTTGTGAATTGTGATTTTCTTTGTAAAAGTTAACAAGTAAGAATTCTGTAGTTTTCAGTTGGTAGCACATAGAGACACAGAAAGCTGCAGTAGGAAACTTATTTAAAGTTCAGCCTCGTGGTAAGTTTATGTTCAGTTAAATGATCAATTGCTTTCCTTATGTTATAAAAATATTGATGGTGCTTGTCATGTCACTCATTTAACAGACTGGCTTATGTTTCCCATGCCCACATTGATGTTGTTTATAATTCGTAGACAAAACATCTGTGGTTCTTCTTGCATTTACCTTATTTTTATATATTTGTATGTGACGAAATTGGAGAAGTAACATTTTGAAGTTTGAACATCAAAATATTATTTCTACAGACTACTGAATATGGTTAAGTTCTCCTATGTTTTGACTTGCAAAACTAGGAGAAATTTAGGGAACTTTGTTCAAGATTTTAGTAGGTTTCCATTTTTACCAAGCTGACTAGTGTTAGTGAAGATCTAGGAAATGTTTTGGCTTGTTGTTCTTATATAGCCTATGTCAAGATGGATAGTAGGTATCTGAACCCTCCTTTCTGGTCTTAGTTTTAGACTTGTGACTGTGAGTTTGAGGAGTATATCGGTTATGAGTTACAATTAATTTCCAAAATTAGTCCAAGAAAAACAGTGAGTTCTGATTGTAGGATTTATCTTGTTAGCTTGTCACCCGTTAAATGATTGTTGATAACATATCAATGGGGACCTTTAGAAAATGGAAGATGGTTGCTTCCCCCCCCCCCCTCTTTCACTGTCACATGATTCTACATTTCCACCTTCATTATTTTCTCTAGCCACAGAAAAGGGTTTGACGGAGAAGGTTGGACATGCTTTATCCAAGTACAGTTTCTTTCTTAATTGTTGCTCTAACATTCAGCATGTTTTGTACTATTGCTTCTGGGAGTAGGTTATTTCAAGGGGAATTGTTAAACAATTTATCAAGTTTATTTTGGTCTGCTATGTAGTGATTTCATATCAAGTTATGAAGTGAAATAAAAAAAAAACTTACCAAATCTATTGTGGTTTGCATAACTTTTCCATTTCAATAGATTTATAGGTGTTCGGCAAATTGTAAAGAGCAAAGGAGTTGTGAAATTTACTGTTGTTTGCTTACAGTTTCCTTTTATATAGGTATAGCTTTTATCAAATGTGAAGAGAAATGTTAATAAAATCACATTAATAAAAATGAAATGAACATTTTGTCCCCCTCCCAAAAAAAATTGAAATAATAACCTGGAGTGTCATTCATGTCCTCAACATTTGCTACAATTAGTGGCATTCGGTAAGATATATTTTCTCTATTATCTGGCCAAAGGATAAGATACACATTCACTAGACAGTAAATCTGGCAACATAAACAAATAGCTAAAATAGTTTATACCAGATTCTTCCATTAGGCCGCATTTTTATCCTTGTGGGCCAAAGATTTTTTTACAGGGTATTTCTTTTTACTAATATCTGAACTAGTATTGGTGGTTGATCCCTAGAAGATTATATGGTACAGGCTTTAGAGTTTTGAAATGAATATTAGCTCTGCATCAGCATGCTTGGTCATTGTTAGTGTGCTTGTGTGAATGGGATAAGAATTGAGGCTGCAGAAGCAGCTGGCAAGGAAGTTAGAGAGTTTTCATTTGTTTCCCTTCCTGCACCATCTATTTTCTAGAAAGAAAGAAATTGGGATTTGTGGAAGTTGACGTGCTATACCGAATCTTTTGCTCGTCTTTCTTTTTCTCTAATCTTGGGTGTATCTGGCTGGTTGCTGCATTTTCAATTATGTTAATTGATGCCATTTTTCCCGTCTCATTTTACTATCCAATAATTACTTAGGTGGAAACTTTTGAAAATGCACTTTGCATGGTGCTAATTGTTGTTTATAGTGTTCACTATGTGGTTTATGCTTTGATTGATGGACTATTTTCTCATTACCTGATGAGTTCAATATGTTGAGTAACTTTATACAGCATGTGCAAGATGGCTAGGGTTAAACGAAGAGAAAATGTTGATTTGGATGCCCAGGCTTTCCATAAAGAACTGGATGAAGTCTCATGTCCAATCTGCATGGAACATCCGCATAATGCTGTTCTCCTCTTGTGCAGCTCGCATGAGAAGGGTTGCAGATCATACATCTGTGATACAAGTTACAGGCATTCAAATTGCTTAGACCGGTTTAAGAAGTTAAGGGATATTCTTATAAGAGTCCAGTATTACCTCATCCCAGGCCCATAAACCCACTGAATTCTATTACTTCTGATATGAACTTGAGAACAGAGTTTATTGAAGGTAGTTGAAGTCAAAATCTCAATGAAATAAATATCGATTCAGAAGGAGAAGGCATTGTAGATACAGGGGAATCTTTTCGGAGAAGAGTTGAATTTGAAGAAGTAGATGCAGGGAATACATCAATCTCTAGTTTGAAATGCCCTTTCTGTGGAGGGAAAATACTCGGCTGGGAGGTTGTGGAAGAGGGCAGAAGACACCTAAATTTGAAGAAGAGAACTTGTTCCAAGGAATCTTGCTCCTACAGTGGGAATTACGGGGAGTTGCGTCGGCATGCCAGAAGAGTTCATCCAATAACACGACCTTCGGATATTGACCCGTCCAGAGAATGAGCCTGGTGCTGCCTTGAGCACCAAAGAGGATACGATGACACCGTAAGTGCTATTCGATCTGCCATGCCAGGTGCTGTTGTGGTTGGAGACTATGTCATCGAGGATGGAGATAGGTTGGCTGGTGAAAGGGAGAACGGCACAGGTGAAGTGAGTACACCATGGTGGACTACTTTCTTTTTGTTTCAGATGATTGGTTCAGTTGATGGTGCTGGTGAACCCAGAGCAAGGTCCTGAGTATGTTCAAGGAATCGACACCCCGGAGGAGCTTTATCTGAACGTAGGTTCCTCTGGGGTGAGAATCTCTTGGGGCTGCAAGATGAGGACAACAACGATGATGTACACATATTAAGCGATGTAGGTAATGATGCATTTCCGGTCCCAAGAAGGCGTAGGCGTCTGATGCAGCCAAGGTCAGATGAAGATCAGTCATGAAAAAGGAGACAGATACTTTTGGGCCGGTAAACCCCAGTTTCTTGACACGACTTCATATGTGGAATTGATTTCAGATTGCTTTTCTTAACATTGATGTCCCATTGTTGTGTGCATAATAACAGTTTTGCTGGTTTCAGAAGTTATCGGCTAACTGGCTTTCGGGACGAGTAGAACTTTATATTATGCTTACAATGTACTGAAACTCTTGTGTCAGTGTCCCGTATATCTGATTAAGATCAATATTGTACCGGTCTTTGTTCATCGTTTTTCATTTTGCTTTTACTTTTGTTTTTTTTTTTTGGGGTTGGGGGGGGTGCATAATTTTAAATTATTAACAGGTTAATATTTGATGTATTGATGAGAAAAAAATTACATATTTGATATTATTGATAATGGCCAGTTCGTTTATTCTTTGCCGAAAATCAGATTAAAAGTGAGACGTCTCATACTTTATGAATTGGAAGTGAAAAATGTATATTTTAATTAAATTGATGACAAAGGTCCAATAAACAATCAACAGATTAAGACATAAAATTAACAGTTATAAAACATCATCATAATGTTATAAGATAGCTATTATATTTAATATTTTTTATAAAATAATTATTGATTTGTTATTATATTATAATTATTAAAAATTTAATAATTAAAATAGTCATTTAAACATAATTTATTCCTTTTAAGGTACTTTACTCGAAAACTAATTGAAACGGATTCTATTTGTTGGAATTTTACACTGGATGGTACTTGCTCACTCCAATTAGCTTATAATTTAGCTGCGGAGCCGCCTCTACTAATTCGAATAGGAATTGGATATGAAACAAAAGTAATTAAACAAACTTGTCCCAGATTAAATGAAGATGATGAAAGTATTTGTCATCATCTTCGCCAATGTCTTGACAGCAGGAGATTTTGGGATCAAATAACAAATTCTTACTGCTGTTACTGCTTCTTTTAATTCTGATTTTAGTGACCGGACTCTCTCTCTAATGTCAAATCTCTTGTTATCTCAAACTGTCATAAAATTCCCTGGTATATTATCTTTATTCATCTTCTTGTGGCAAGTATGAATAAATCACAGCTTATACAAGGAGAGTTTTATGATTGGATGAGCGAACCGAGTCGATGATCGGGAAGTTTTTGAGTTCGTTTGGAAGGTTGCAGGCGGAGCAACAAAAAACAAGCGATGGAGTTGCAGGCCATTGTGGTGTGGTGTTGCAGCTAATCCTTGTTAAGTTCATTATTTATGTGGTGGGGCAATTTGCCCCTCTTCAATCACCAGTTTTGCCATTTGAAGCTTTTATTGAATAGTTTCTTGCTAATAATGCGTACAGGTGAATCCTCAGTGGAAAGGTTTTTATGACTTGAATGCATCTCTAGCTTTTGTTTCTGATATTGCAGGCTATGTTTTCTTTGCTTTCTTCATGAAATGGCCATAATAAAGCCCACATTCTGCGATACTGCTGCAGTTTACTGTCTGAGATAAATACTGATAAAATTCAAAATTCATTAAACATGGTACCTAAAATCATGTCCACAGGAAGAAACGTTTGAAAGTGCCAAAAAGTAAATATTGGGTGAGAGAGGCTCGAACTCTCGACCTCAGGATTGCTCAGATAGCTATGAGACCTACGCGCTAGCCAACTGCGCCACCACCCCCATGATGTCTACACAACTATCATAAATATATCAGATCAAAATTTTACAACTTACAACAAAGGATGTTAAAAAGCCACCACCAACATTCTCAGATATATTTATATATATTTCAAAACACAACTAGAAAATAAAAGGTCTGTTGTCTTTAATTTCCCTTCAAAAAGATTATATTAACATTAGTTGTTACCCTCGCTAATGGAGTCTATCTATCATAAGGCATTTTGTCAAGATAATCATCTAAATGATAAAATAGTGTTTTGGTATGTATAAAGGAGACCAAACAATCTCTATAAAGCCACTTCTTATATCAGTAAATGCACTGGCTTTAAGAATTCAAAGGAGAAACGACCCATTCAAAGAATTAAATTTTTGGCTTAAGGGTATTTTGTCCATCTAGTCAACTCAATTTATCAATTTCGCCCTATTGTATTTTCGCATCAATTTAACTTTCGAAGTTGTTTAATTGCATCAAATTATACCGTTGACCATTTTGACTAACGGGACTGTTAGTTTCTACTTATGTGGACGCCAATTGTTTCCATGTCATCCAATATTACTAACGTGGCTTAATGATAATGTGTCATTTATTAAAAATAAAAAATATTTTAAATATTAGAACCACAAATTTTTGACCCGTTACAAGCTATAACCCGACCCATTAACATTTCAGGCCTCGAGAGTAAACTGGACACAATCAATTTGTTAATCCCACCCAATCGATGGTTCAATGACCTACAACCGAATATCCATCCACTTAAACTATTGGTAAACCACCACTAAACTAGTGGATGTAGCAGGCAATTGATGACATACTCAGCAACAGTCATGACCTTGACCGACGACGACAGTGGCAACCATAGTTGCCCTTATCTTTCACGTGGCAACTTGTAAAGGTAACAATCCCAAAATCAATACCATTTGAAACAAGAAGAAGATAAATAGAAAGGTCGACGGGGTGAGTTTGTTCCGACGATCTAGACGTCGTTTGGAAGATCCATGCGGTGGAAAGGATGGAATGGCAATGAGGAGCAACATAATGTGAATATGACTCCATTGGACTATTGCTGGCGACAAAGGAAGTCTTTTGTTTCGAGAAAATCAATTGGCTTTTGTTAGATCTACGATGATCGACGATGTATTCGAGTGATCAAAGGTTGGATCCATGACGAGGAGCACGAGGCGATTTTGATGATGTAATTTAGGTCCCGATAGTCGGCAACGACAGCTGATGCGGTGGTCACTGACGATCAAAACTGACCGATGGAGAACCATACTTGAGAGTGGAGAGCACGAGTGTAAGGCTTAGAGAAAGAAAGAAAGTGAAAAAAATATGGGGGAGGAAACTTAAAATGGTTATACATATTTACTTTCATAACTACATAGTTTTGGGGTAGTAAAAGAAAGAAAAGGAGAAATCATAACTTGAGTTCTCTAACTAAGGACGAAATTGATAAATTTAGTTTACTACAAGGATAAAAATTACCCTTAAGTCATATATATATTTTGATTAATATGTGGTATTTACAAGGTAGTATATATTCAAAGACTTTAAATCATTTGACATTAAACGTTCATATTCCTACATACATGATACTCAAATATAAGACCTTAAATAATAATAATAATTTTTTAATGACCGAAGCCACTTAATTGGTGAAATGTTTAATTAACTTTAAAGTGTATAACTTTTAAATAAGCTTTCATATCTATAACCTCTAATCAATTCACGTGTAAGAAGAACGTTGTATGCAATTAATGCATCTAACATACATAATTATAGTTTGAAGAAAATAATTAATAGAAGTAAAGGTGTAAATTTTTAATCAATTATCTCTTTTTTATTTCTTTTAGTAGGTGTTCATTTTTCGGTTTTGACCAAATTAATCGACCGAATCGAATTAGTTCGGTTAATTTGGTTGGCCACCGAATTAGTTCGGTTAGGAAACGATTAATAATTTTTTTAGAATTTGGTTAACGGTTAATTCGGTTCGAAATCGGTTAATTAACCGAATTAACCAAAATTAAATTTTAAATATTATATATATTATATATAACATATGAGTTTAGCCCAAACTATTTAAAACCCAATTAATAATTTAAGATCTAATAACTTTTAAACCTAAATCAATATTAATTAATTAAAAAATCCATATAAATTTTATTTTATAATTATATTATTTAAATTAATTGTAAATTGTTTTTTAATTAAAAAATATTCAATTTTTATATAATTTAGAAAAATTTTAAAAATTTTGGTTAATTCAAAAATTAACCGAAATTTATTTGGTACGGTTAATATTTTTAAAAAAAAATCAGTTCAGTTAACGGTTAAAGAAAAAAAAGTTCAATTAATAGTAATTCGATTCGGT